GAGATCTTCAAGTCCAGGGCATTCACCTAATGCAAGATCACGTTCAGTATACATTAAGAATGCAGATCAAGTTTCCATGAGGTAATGGCCCCATTGCTTGCAGAAAGCAAACATGCCAGCACACTAAAAGAAAATACATTACCCAAAACTTCCATAAAAAGGTGTCAGCAACTGTTTGTTTATTAATACTCAACACTAGATTGTGGATCTTGCCTCAGAGAAATCAAGCCATTTCTTAAGACTGATAAAGTGATTTGATTGCCCAATCCCCTTTAGTACCTGTTCCAGCAGGCCTTATCAACACAAGACTGACATAGCAGACGCCTTAAATTTCTATTTGTGCAGCTGAAACTCACATATTGTCTTTCTTGAAAAGGGCACTCTTGAAGACCAAATGGCTGCTAGGCTCTTACTAACACTTTACTCAGACTGTCTCACACAGTTCATCTTTTCTAAGCCTCTTGGTATTCATAATGGCATTCTGAGGACTGCAAACTGTGGGCCAAAGCAGGCAGGACACATTATTCCAACTCATACCTGATCAGTACATCAGCTACAGGAGTAAATGTAACCCTTTGATATATTTATGACACTTCCAGCTTAAGAACTTTTTTCCCTTTATTACAACAGCCACAATGCTGCCAACACTCTGATCCCCTGGTACCTTTCCTGAAGTCTGTTGTCCCTTATTTTATGTTTTAAATGTTGATTTTCTTTCCCCTAAGCAAAACCTTGTTTACTGAATTTCTTCATATTGATTTCTGGCTATTTCTACCTTTTCCAAGTATATTTTAAATAATAAACCTCTTCTTCAAAATTCTTTAGTATAGTGAAATTTTTACAATATTTTCCCTTCTGTTACTCAATGAAAGTATTGAACAGCAATGGAGCTGAGACAGAGAGACAGCTGTGCAGGCAGAATCCCACTTGATAGAACCTCCTACTTCAATAGAAAATTTTAAATGTTTCCATTATCTTTGAAGAAATATTTTAAATTCTTCAAAATGTTTCCATTTTACAATAATTTCATCTTAGTTACCTCTACCTACTTGTGAAAACATGGGACAGTAGCAGACCCCTCACTGAAATGAAAATACTTACACCTCATTTACTCTCCCCTCCTCACCACACCCCTTATCCACACAGAGCTACCTGCTAAAAAATGACTTAGAGGATAGAAACAGTGTGGACAAAACAAGATGAAAATGTGGAACCTTAGAAGTTAATTTTTAAGGTTGTATCTGATTTTTTAATCATCTTTTCCAGGTCTATTGTTTGAGTCAAGCCTCTATAGCTTGTTCTTAGATCTCTTTTATTCTCAAACAGGATAAAGCATCAAAGTTTTCTGTCTTGAAGAACCTCTGTGCACAGGTACTGTAAAGAAAGGTGACTCAAGGCAAACACGCAAGGGAAATCCTAAGAATGATGTGATGAGAAGAGACAATGGCAACACGAGCTCACCACTGACATTACTGCATTCTGGTGAGAAGGATAAAAATAAAGAACCAAGTTCTGCTTTTATCTGTACTCATCCCCTGGGTGTTGCAGAACAGCTTGTTTCCAACAGAAACCCAAGCAGGCAGAAAAAAAAGTAGCAGTGTAATTCCATGGGTGCTCTTCTAGAACTACAAAATGTTGATAAAACATAAAAGTAGGAACGGCATGATCCAAGTCCTACAATTCCAGATGGTCGTAGATTTTTGGCTGTGTTGCTCCACGTCCTGGAGAACAGGACACAAACCAAGGATATGAATCTTCTGTGATACAGTTGCAGCAAATCACCTGAGCATGCAACTGTCCTGAAATCAGCACCTGCCCCAGAGGCAAGAAGATGGCAGAAATATCACGGCAATAATACTCAGGGCTGTGTCTGAACTGTCTGATCATCACATCTCCACCTGTTCTCGGTGTGCTTTTAAGCAGAAAGAGGAAAACTGAATCTCTAAAACCCCATTAACAGGCAGAATGAATGGGAGTAGATTAGTAAAGTGAATAGCTAGTCCTGAGGAGCCAGTGCCTGTGCTATAAGGATTTCAGAACCAGTTTCACACAAAACTGGTTCCATTATAATACTATGGACTGAATGTACTGGGTGTACTTGTGTTTGTAATCTGGTTTAGGTTCATCCAAAGGGAATGCATTTTTGTGCTCTGAGGTCACTCTGTGATGTAAGCCAAAGCTTGGTAATTGGGGAAAACTTGCTTCAAAAGCCTAATATACATGGACCTAACATGCTAAAGGGTGCTGAAATCTTTGCATGCATTAGAGGTCTGCCATTCCCTGAGCAAAGAACTGTGCTGGTTTTGTTGCCAAGGCCCTCCTCCAACTGCAAACAGGAGACAGACAGTGCCTGAAACATACAATTGGAGCATTCATGGCAGAGAAATGAATTCAGCTGTGTGAAAATTTTGAAAATTGAACAGCATTTTTTCTCAGGCCATATTTACCTTTACAAAAGGAGTTGATTACAAAAATTATTTTTTAAGCTGCATTACACTCAGCAGATAAATTGTGCAAAATACGGAGTACATTAAGTCACTGATAGTACCATGAGAACAATGCTGCAGTGTGATGTACAACAGAGAGATGGAGGCCACTAAATCTAAAGTCTTCTATGCACACTTCAAATCCAGAAACAATACAGTGTTTTAGCTCAGTATTGAATGTATGCTCACAGATCCTTTCAGAGATTACCTAGTTCTTCACAGGGCCAGTGCACATATCCCTCCACACTACCCCACAACTGGGTTCACCGGGAAACAGGGCAGAAATAGCCAGGAGGTTGTAAGTAGAGGTAACCCATGATTGCTGGGCACAGTGATCAGAGTTTAGCACCTGTTGAGTAGCCAGCAAAGGAGGCAGCAATCTCCTCCAAGGGGCTCGGAAGCTGAAGGACCAGGATGCAGTAAGGCCCTAGGCTGAAGGGGAGAGATGGCAGCCAGAAGGCAACAGGAGGTTGAAGAGCATGTGTCAGGCCTGGGAGGTGATGAGAACAAAGCTGTGGTTGTGGCAGCCCTAGGTATGGGAGAGCAAAGGACAAGAGACTGTGGTAATGATTAGTGTCTCCTTGCTGCACCCTTTCTGTATTTTTGGAGTACTTTAAATCAATGTGAGCAGCATTTAGGAATAGGGAGAGCTGCCATCACCTGCCATGTCCTCCTGCAACCTGGAGCACCAGGAAAATGGTGCAGAAAACTGACCAGCTCAGCAGCACCAACCTCATGTAGCTGTACTTCTTTGTGTGAAACCCATGCCATTTGGATTTATTTATTTCCAAGATATCCCAGTCCCAAGTCACCTCAGGTAAAAGAAAACAATTTGATTTCATCTTTCTAAAGCCTGCACTTACTAGGATTTTTTTCAGAACACAGTAGAACAGATACTTCTTAAGTATCTGCGTTGGCTGATTCTTGTACTTAAGAAAATCACCCTACATAGCTTCTTTGCTCTTGAGAAACCAATATATTCAAATTAAATTATTTGATATGTGATTCTGTCTTTTGGTAATAATTTGCCCGGTAAATCATAAGTATGGCACAAGGATTACAGGTTATTTAAAGAATATTGTTTTGATTATTCCTCATCTGCACTTGTTTGAAGTTATTTTCATTCAAGTGATAATAAAGAATGTAATACAATTGTTCCCATATTTGTACTATGAACTCAATTCAGGAAAGTTACTTAAATAACTACGTCCATTTATCCTAAAAATTGCTTTTTATTTTTTTTCCTCCTGATCTCAGTCAAGACTGCAGCTTCACCGTTCAAGCACAGACCTGTGCAACTCACGCCCTGTGGCCAGAAGCAGCTTGCAGAATGTTTTATCCCACTCACATCGGAGACACACAAACAGGTTGGTACATTTTAATTAGCTTCTGTGCATAACAAGTTCCTAGGAAGCAACCTGGAGAACACTCTCGAAGCCACACTTCCTCCACCTTCATTCCTGCTGAGGTGAACAAGCAAAGCTGCTGGCCTAGGGAACGGAAGGGCTTGTTAGGAACCAGGAAAAGCTGAACACCCTGGCTGGAGCCCAGCCTGGGAAGGCACACGGTAAGAGCAAGAAGGCAAGAATATTTAGGAGCATGGTGTAGGGGCTGCTTTGGCAAACTGAACATAAAATAAAAGGCCGGGTGTTGTGCTGGTAGAAGCTAGTATGCCCCTCCTGCTTTTCACGAGGAAAGAGGTGAGGGTGTGTGAACAGGGCGGCATGGCCCATTTCAGACACCTGCACCACAACTGGCACAAACCTGGATGATCTCCGTACTGCATCCCCCGTAACTCCTAAGTCCATGATATAACCCTGGTAAATTTAAATATCTAATGATTCACCCATTTACCGGGATTCTACATGCCGGCTATTTGCAAACATGAGGTTTGCATCAAATTATTTAAAGTAAGTTTTTCTTTCCCCCCTTTGCCGGCTTTCTTATTTATTTCTCAAAGCCAGAGCATTCCTGTGTCCGAAGGCTTTGCAGACAGCCAGACAAGCAGCATCAATGTGTGCTTTCTTATAGAAACACCGGATGCCTCCAAAACCACGCTGCTCTAAAACGGGCACAGCTTTTACAGACGTTGGTGCTCACTCAAACCCCAGTTCACTCTGCCTCCACCGAGACCTGCCGCCCCGCGAACACCCACCTCCTGCCCAGGGCACGCACTCCATCAGAGCCGGCCCGGCTGCGGGCGGGCACAGGTGGAGGTGCGGGATATCCCCCTGCGGGCTCAGGTGGAGGTGCGGGATATCCCCCTGCGGCACAGGTGGAGGTGCGGGACATCTCCCTGCGGTAACAGGTGGAGGTGCGGGACATCTCCCTGCGGGCACAGGTGGAGCCCTGCGGACCCTCCGGCAGCGGGGGGATGGCCCGGCCGGCCGGGGCCGCATTCACAGCGGGGCTGGGACCCCGCCGCCCAAAGCGGAGCGCTCCGGAGCCGAGGCGCGACCCGGGGAGGAGCGTCCGCCGCCCGCCCGCCCTCCCGGCCCCGGGGCTGCCCTGTACCTTGTAGTGTCGGAAGCCGTGCAGCTGCCGGCCGCTGACATACCGCCACCGCCACATCGCCGCCCTGCGCCGCGCCGGCACCCAGGCACGGAGGGATGGGAGCGATGGGAGGACGGACGAGGGAGGCGGCGGGGCCGGGGGCGGGCGGAGGGCGGCTCCCAGGCCGCGCCCCGCGGGCTGGACCTGCCCCCGGCTCCGGGCATCCGCGCCGGGGCTGTCCGCGGGGCTGGCTCCCGGGTGGCTCCCGTGGGAACGGGCGGTTCCCAGGACGCTCCGGTGCCCGCCTGCCAACAGGGAGTGTTTCACACCCGTAATGACCTCACGGCACCAAGGCACGTCGCAGAAACACCTCCAAACTCTTTTTCCCGCTACGGGTCTGTTGAAGATGCCGCATTTACAGCGTACGGGAGGACGCGCCCGTGAAGTCGCTATACAAAACAATGCTGAGTAACAAATGAAAAACATGTCAAGTAACACTGCCCAAACAATGTTAAGTGCCGTGTTTCGGAAACAAGTGACCCTGAGGATTAAGGTTTATCTTTGCATTCCAACAATAATGTGAGTTTTGTATCTTGTTATTGCACCTGCATTGGAGCCTGCCACGCCACATCAGTCAGCAGTGCGCTCTGCGCCTCCTGATTTCTAGGGAAGTGAGGCACTGGGATAGGCAAAAAAACCCCCAAACAACAACAAAACCTGGAAAACATCAGGAGTAATGTTTCAGCTGCAAACGTATTTCAGCATATGGCATGACACCTTGTGTTACCTTTGCTGTACACTACTGGGAGAGAGAGTTGAAATCATACACGTCAGGGTCTGAGATTTTTATGGACCAAATGGAATCTATCCAGAAAGCAAATCAATTCAAATCCATTACTCGCACCCCATGAGGCATCTCATATATTGTGAGAGTCAGTGTTATTTTACAAACTGGGCAGGTTTGATAGGAATTATGCACAAGTTATGATCGTTAAGTGCAAACTGTATGCAATGGTTCTTGTTCTGTATTATTAATTACACTTTAATCAATTGAGATGTGCTTACACCTGCCTTCTGCTTCCAGCAGCAGCAGCAGCTGAACTTCTGCTCTTGAACACAACCCAGAATTTTAATACTCAGCTTCAGGTTACTGAGCTAAACACTTGATACCAGTTAAGTGTATGAATTTTAGTTCACGAGCCAACTGTAATTTCAATTAGTGTTCATAGCCTGAATTTTGATTTGGGATCCCCTTCATTGTCATTATCACATTTTTAAATTGTATTATGCTATTGAATTCATTTACAAAGGTACATAAGAAAAGACTCACAATCTGTACTGTACTAACTGCAGTTTTTTAGTGCAAGTAAGTTACTGAAACAGGCCAAAGCATTTTAGAATTTTCACTTTCACTTCTTAACTCTAACCTTAGAAGCCTCAAACATGAAAGCAGAAATTTGTCTGAACAACTATTAGCAGTGTGATGGACAGTAGTAGAAAAGGTGTTTGCTGTTCTGAAAGGTAGAAGGTAGGCAAAAAAAGGTATTTTTTCTCTTTGCATGCTTCTAGATTTATATCAAAAATATACAGATACAGAAGATACATAGATATAGCAGACAGAGAATACAAGTTTTATCTCCTATTTTCTCAAAACTATTTTGGTGATAAATTAAACACAAAAAAAACCCCTCAAACCCTCATAAATACTCCACTAAACAGGAAATGTCAAAGACTGCCTACATGTGAAAATGCAACTGCTTGAACTCCAGCATGTTCCATGTTTGCTAATGAGCACATCAAAGGAGGCAGCACAAGTTATACTAAAGAGCAGGAAACAGACTGTGAATAAGTATGGAATATCACAGAGCAAGCTGAGACACAAGTAGCATGGGGTTTGAGAATACTTTGGAAATTATACTGATCTGCTAGCTGTTGATTTAAGGAATTTTCTTGGTTTAGGCATCATGGTTCATATGAATAGTTGGCCTTTAAGACCACACACACACAGGCTAGCCAAGCCCAGCAATCCAAGCTCAAGACATCTGCTTTACTGCTACACTGTGCTGTCTCCATGCATATCAGAATGGTAGGCAAATAGATGAGGGCTCAGGATGGCCCAGAATAAATGATAAATACATTACACTCACACCCACACCCACACCCACACACACACACATATATATATATATATATATATATATATATATACACATATAACCCAATAAATCCTTGGGTTTCATCCTTCTCTCTCTAAGTTATAGTAATAAATTAATAATGATGGAGCTTCTCAGATAGGGAAGACTGCCTAGTATGGCAACTTTGATTTTTAATAATTTATTGTGTCTTGTTTATTCCTCACCTTAGAGCTGTGTGCTATGCAATAGCCTTTACCTAGAAGGCATCTAATAGCACATTCCTGCCTACTTCAAGAAATGAAAAAAAGCAGAAAGAAGTCATGTAGAGACCAAACCTAAAACGACCAGCTGCCAAAGCAGTAGAAGAATGGAAGAAGGAACTAATATATTACTCTACCCACTCTTTAAAATACCATTCTCCCTTGGGCAAGGCATTTTTCAGGAACAGTGTTTGTAAAACCTTCAGCACAAGGGTACACCACAGTCATGAATAGGCTAAAGTGGCATTAATACTAGACCTAAAAGAGGAAATTCAATATTTGGAGTTACTAAAATTTATAAAGTTCAGTGTTATCAGCCCCTCAGTAATTTTAAAATCTTTTTGAATTAAATTAAGAGGAAAAACTTTCATGGCAGTAAACTGGTCTAACGATTGAAGTTTAAAATATGTCACTTTTCTCCAGCTCTGAATATGTGCCTGTATTTTTTTTCTCAGCAGCTACAGCCAAAAGAGAGTACATTTATGACAGATGTTCAGTTTCAGATTGGAAAATATTATTTTATTTGCACTAACCCCATTAAACTACAGAGGCATCTCATAAAAAGCAGGCAAATATGTTTCCCAAATGTTACTGTCTGCCAGAAAGTTATGCGCTCATACTCCTTTTATAGCATTGACACAGAGAAATAGCAGGAGATGACAAAAATATCAGCCACTGCAAGATGCCATGGGGGCACTTGGAGCTGGGATGCTGGGATGAGCTGGCTTAGGCTCAGTGAGCAGCCAGGACACTCCAGAGGCTGGAGCCCCTCACATCTTTCGGACCCAGGGGCAAGGGCTGCTAAAGAGATGCTTCCTGGGTGTGCTGATTCATTTAAAACCTGGTTTTGCTTTTGATTCTTAAATGATCAGCTATTAATTTTTAATTTGTGTGAACGTTAGAAACTGACTCTTTGATCCACTGCAATCTGGCATCCCCTGAGGGGTTTTGTGGGGGTTTTTTATCCCGTTTCTTCCACAGTTTACAGCTTGCCTCAGCATAGTGATGCACTGTACTGTGAAACAGTACGATTTAATTTAAAGTGGAACTGACATCATAGCTTGAGGATTAAAAATACTTAAGTGTTTCATGTTATTTCCTAAAAAAAAAAAAACCTTAGAAAGCCTGGAATGATCAAACTGCAACACAGTCTGCAGAAGAAAATGTTATTTTGGATCTAGACTGTGATCTGTCTAGCCTAGGCCTTTGGATCACCTCTTGCCTGACAAACTCATAAAAACCTATGTGACCCTGAAAGACAGACTCTAAAATATTTGATGAGTTTTTCCTCACCTACTTCATCCCAGTTCAGTGTCTGGGATACTTGTGACTTTTAAAAACTTTCCTGAAGAAATGACTCAAACCAAAAACCTTTTTCTGTGTTTGAATTTGACACTGTCTGTACCACACTTTGTACACTGGAAAGCTTTTAAAGCTCTAACTTAATGCTCTGTAAGAGGAAATGAATCCATAAACCCATATTAGAATGAAGGACGGGCACATTCAATCAATAGAAACAAGTACTCCAAACTTCAGTAATTTAAGCTTCCTTACCTTTAACTCATCTGTGTAAAACATATTTTGTTTCTTTGAAAGAGTCCTTTCTACATGTGGATTAAGGAACATTGGTGCAATCACCCCCAACAAATAAATTCCCTTTTTTCTGGATTTCACTAAAGAAAGAATTTTTATTGCTAAAAGAAATTTTACTGTTTTCATAGAATATTCATGCAACAAAAATACAAAAAGTACACCACTTCTTAATGTTCCCTGAGCAGCAGTAGATTTGATCTTGAGTGCAAATACAGTCAATCAGTATATCAGATAAAACAGTGGACTCAAACCATTATTTAAGCCTGTGAAAACACAGATATGCTTGTATATGTAGTTGAAAAACCAGTTCATAAAAAAATGACCAATTGTGTTAATTATTACTTCCAAAACATAATGCACAGAAATTTTTAACAGTCTTGAAGAATAATGTAGCAGTATTATGAAATTTTAGCTTTTGTCAAGAAGCTTGGCTTGTATTAATCTTTCTTCACATTATTTCTAATAATGAAATTGAGACATTATTTTTTAAAAAGCTGCAACTCTGCTTTAGTTCACGTGGTTTTCTCGTATGCTTCCTCTACTTCCATGTCATTTCAGTACTTGTTTGGAAAGAACATGCAAAGAGAATCTATAGATTGGGTCACCTTCTTGGGATTCTATAGAAGTTCCTCCCAGTGTGAGCACCTTGGAATTCTTGGAAGGAGTTTATGTACAGAAAAAATACACCCACTAAAGTAGACCAGACTTCTGTGGTCCATTTCTCTGTGGTTTAGCTCTAACATAAGATTATTTAGCTAAGCAGTGTAATAACGTACATTAAAAAAAAAAAAAAATCTACCTCGAGGATATATAATACAATTAATTTGTCTGTCTGGTAATTTCAGAAGAAATACTGCAAATTTTTGGAAGGATGAGAACCCAGTGCTTTTAATTCTGTTTTGAACATAAAAATCAAAGGCAGTATGGGTTTGGATGATGATATTTTTGTCTCTTCTGTTTGCAAAATCTACTTTAATTAGTGGCAGTTTTATAAAGGGAATGCCAGACGGGTGTTTGCCATAGGGTGCTTTGGGAAAAATACAAACTGAACTACAGACGGATATATGTAATTAGGGCTCAACAATAAAAATGCAGCCATGCAGTACCTTCTATCAAG